TAAAGAATACTCATGGTTTCTCCTTTGAATTCATATAAAAAAATCTGAGCTCGATGTTACCATTGTGCAGACTATTTTTATTCTAAAAATTCGGAAGTAGTGATGCAGAAAGAAGACAAAGGATGGCAGATTTCAATTACCAGCTACTTCCACCACTCCCTGTTTTAGCTGAATCATCCTGAATGTAAAATGTGTAGCTATAGCTAAATACTATTATACATCTTTGGAAGAAAATTTCACACAGCATATTTGAAGTGCCAAGCCCTGTTCTGTGTTCCCAGAACTGAGCAGAACATAGCTCTGTCCCCCTGTACACTACAAGCAGCTTGCTGAGCAGGAAGAACATCACTACATGCTTAAGCAGGACTTTTCATCCAAGGGTCAAAAATGCATCATACAGTTAAATTTCACAACATTTCTGCAAGGAGATTATTATTCAGTTCCCCTTTTGAAGGGGAGCAAGAAAAGTCATCATGGCAACAGAGAACAAAATCACAGTGCTAAAAATAAAGGGTATAAACCCTTTCTAGGTTCCTAGTTCAATACTGTAACCACTGCAGCATGCATATTTAAAAGTACGATGCACAGCAATCAAAGACACAACATGCTTAAAATACCCTGAGAAGTCCTTCTGTTTGCCAGGACCTTAAAAAGCAAGACCAGTTATCGCATGTGGGTAGCAAGAAGCGGCCTGAAACACAAGGCTGATTTTTTAAGGGTGATGTGCTTGACTGTATTTTTCTTCCTCCTATTTCACTTATCTCAGATAAAGACAGAGGCAGAGAACCTTTCCCAGGTGCTGCTGAGTTCAGAACTAAGTGGAAACCTGGGGATGCCACTTAGAAGGTGTCTTCGTGCTGTCTGTGGCAGGTGTGCCATAGGGTGCCTATCTCTGGCACATGTAGGAAAGAATTCAATGTGCAAAATGAAACTGAGAACACTTCTTTATATAGCAGATAGAGACGAACTGGAACTGACTGCAGGAGTTAATAAACAGTAAAGACCTATCTAATGAATACAAGAAATGGGTTCTGACTGCAGAACTCTGTGAGATCAGCTGTACACCACCTACAGTCTCTTGCTGGGAAAGAAAATAGCACTTCGAATTAGAAGGATATTTCCATGGTCCAGGGAAGTGCAAAATCTAACGGACTCCAAGTGAACAACTCCAACCTAATAAAGCCCACATTATGAAAGGGTGAAAAAGTAAGACCTCTGTTTGAAAACAGGAATATCTATAATCCATCCAAGTAAAAAATCAGCCAAGGAGACTGGAGACACATCAGGGCATCCCCCACTACACAGCAAACAGAAAGTGTGAAGGTCATCACAGAAAGTAAGTGGTCCTGGATGCAGAAGAACAGAAGAGAAACTTGTTTGCACACCCAGGAGCATCACAAGAATCCTAGTGACATACCAGATGCCAGGGGATTTTTAACTGTGCCCCTCTCTAATTGAGGATGAAGCACACACCAACGCCATTATGTGGCCTGAAGATACTGGCTTACAAAATATGGAACAAACAATAGGAACAGATGCTCATTTGGCCAGATTTCAATAAGCCTCATTAAAACCAAACACCCTGTCCTTGGAGCTCGGGTTCATGCCACATTTCTATCTTATTTAAGTACCTAGCACCAATTCCTGACAAAGCTGTCCACTTGTGGTTGCACACCAGTAGTATCATATAAATAAATCCTCTCAGACATTTTTTGATTTCTACAGAGACAAACAGGAGGATTTTGTATATATGTGTGTGTGTACACATATATAAAGACACAGAGATTGAATTTCCTTTTTAAAGGCATTAGGTTAAACATACATCAGACCTGTTGATCACTCAAATGTAAAAGGCAAAAAGATGTCTAAAGATTAACAGCAAAACTCCTGAGGATGTAAGAGAACCGATGTTACAGATCACACAGGCTACATCTGTGCATCACAATACTTAATTTTTAACTCAAGATCCCATCTCTTCAGTCAAAACACGAGCACACTTGAAATAATTTCTACTGCTCCTTATTTGCTTCTACCCAAATATGCCCATGTCCCATCAATGAAGTTCCAGAGGGCAAATACCAGAAAAGCATGGCTAAGAACAAAATACAAAGATTCATCAGAACATGATATTCTAGTTTTATTTTTAAATGCCTAAATAAAACAAGATAATTCATAGGTTTGCAAAAGTCACCGAGCACCTGGCTGCATAGTCAGCACAACATGGTATAGCAGATGGGACAAAGTTTCCCAACAAACGAAGACTTCTTTGAGTGGTCAAAAAGACAGTAGCCCTATGCTACTCCCTGTACTTGAAAAAGCATAACTTTTTTATTATAACTTCTTTTCCCTTCATTTTAGAAAGAATGTCAGTTGTCAGGTGGGTAAGTCACACCTGACTGTCCTGTACAGAAGCTTTCCTTCACAAGAGAACTTGATGGATGGACAGTGCTTCAGTCTGAAAAAAGTTATCTCAATATTGATGCGTGTGGCCTCAAGGGAAACCGCATGTCATACTTTGAACAAATTTTAGAAATATCAAGCACATGATCAGCAAACGGCATTAATACAGTCTTAACAGAGAACAATTTTCTTTTTTGCAAGCAGGTGCAGAATCATAAATTCTGCTTTCGGAAAAAACACCATCCCTTGCAGATTGACTGACACTTCTGACAAGCACATGATAATACTGACTGTGGCTCCCAGTCAGGGCTGACACTGCACTGCAGAATCAGAAAGATAAATCATGATTTCCAAAGTGATCCTTTTTGTCTTTCAATGCCAGTTCAAAAAAATAAAAATTTAAACCCCTTTTCCAAAAGTGCTGCAGATAAAGAAACCCACAGTTATAATTTCCAGTATTCAACCTCCCAACAAAACATTTTAAAGTCCAAGGCTGCAAGACAAATCAGTCACAGAGGATAAAACCTGCCATGTGCATAAGGCTAGGAGAAGGCCTCTGAACTCCTTAAGTCCCATTTAAGCCTTTCACCTAGGGAACATTTAACAGTTGTGCCATTTGCCTATGCCATCCCTGAGCCATGTGCATTTAGCGAACTGGATTTATAAATGCTTCAACACTCCTGGAATTTGAAAGACAAGCTTTCTTCGAACCTGTTTCATTTTGGTGTGTAGATGGGAAGGCAAAGGAAAGGAGTACAACAGCCAGGCAAGCCAGCACTAGGGCAAATATAGCCCCAGAAAAGTCCTTATGTTTTTTCATATTTATATATATAAATACATATGCATGTGTATATATATGAATGTATACATCTATATATGTTTTTTTATATATGTGATGGCAGATTGTCCTACAGCATATAAACATATGTATTATCCTACAGCATTCAGAGATGCAATACTCTAAAACATACGCTTTTTCACCTCGAGGGTCATGGTTCAAATTCACCCTCAATAACATGAAACAAGTCTTGCTCTTCCTGCCTTGAGCCCTAGCCACACCTCTTACCATGATCCCACTGAAACATAGTTTTAGGAGAGTTTATTATTTGGGGCACTAGGATGTTAAAGGTATGTCATTTCAGTTGAAAGAGGCATCACGTAAATTAGCTGCAGTTCTTGCACATCCTTGCTCCTTAGTAAGATGAACAGGTCAATAATCTGCCATAAAGCAGATGGAGTTGAATGGGTTTACTCTAGCTAGCTTGCTGTGAGCTGCTTCATGGCATCAGAATGATGCTGTATGGTGATATAATTCAGTCAGAGCTGCTCTAGTGCTTTGCTGAAAGAGTTTCACCTACTTTGTATCATTAAGCACCTTAATAAGCAGTGTGTGATACCAGTTGTCTTAAGCTAAGCATGAAGGTGTCAGTATTAAATATTAGCACTTGGTATCAAGACTGGTAGCTCCTCTCAGTAGTGCTTCTCCACTGGAAGGTAACCTGGCATGTCAAGCACAGTTTACGAGCGCCAAGCCACCTGCAAGCACCATGACAAACCTATGATTGCAGATTCCCTGACAGGAAACAAAAGTAATGGGACATCCAAATTTCACCAGCAAAATCCCAGCAAAGATTTAGCTAGGAAATTATCTTAAAGGTCAATACAAAAGTGAGCCCCGAAGGGACACGGCACCTTTAACTACCATTCAACGTATGAAAAAAAAAGGACTTCAAGAAGATCAAGGACCAAAAAACTGAAAGAGAAAACAGGCTTTTGAGTGGCCAGGTTTGTGGTAACAGAGGAGCAACAAAATGCCAGCTGGTTTCAGTAACAGATGGCTGTGTGCACTGATCTGCCCTGCATGCCCATTCTAAACTTCCTTGCAGTGGAAATACGAAGCTTACACAAGGCTAAACTCATCCTTCGCACAGCCCTTCTATTCATATTGCATCACGGTTCAAATGTTTTCCATTCACAAACAGCCCTACACGTATGTTACTTTACTTTAGTTACGCTGAATTTGAAGAAACGAAGGTGGCTAATGGCACCTCATCTTTTCCAATCACATCTCCTACAACTCTCCAGGAATGACTTTTCTCTGATGGGCTAATATATCGACTTTCTTACCATTCTGACTGCCGTATCTCCCTCCTCCCTTTCCCTTAAATACAGCATTCACTGTACTTTAATTGAAAGGTCTTTCTTTTTGCACCTCCTTTCTGGTAGCTAAGAAAGGGAACCACCAACACAAAGAGCTCTCACGCAGTATTTTTAGCATATATCTGGACATTTATCATTTGAATTTGCCACAGCTAATTACATGGCAGGCATAGGTCATCCCATTAGAAAAGTCATTGCTTGTATTGAGCAGAATGAATCCTTCAATCCTAGATAGCTCAGGACTCAAGTAATCATTTCCAACAGAGAAAAACAGCAAGTGTGAAAACTCTACACTGAAGGATGGGAAAGCCTACCCAAAATGCTTGCTTTCTGTTTAAATATTTTTTCTAACTGTAATTTTTAACAAGAACTTTTCTGTGATTAACAATGAACAGTCTGCTAAAAAAAACCCTCAAAACCAAAGCCGTTCTCTTACTTACTTTGGCCACACAATTTTCAGTCTTCATAGCAGTGCTTCCTAGACATACTGTTTCCTGGTTTAAGCACAGTCTCGCACAGCTGTTGTAGGTCTGCAGAAAGATTAAAATGGTTATGACTAGAAGAACATGATTTTCTTCCAGGCACCACATTTTTGGCACAGGAACCCACAACAAGTCTACCACATTTCCTTTTTCCTAAGGTGTAAATGTTTCAAACCAAAATAAACTAGTTTACAGTAACAGCCTATGCTGAGGGCATGCATGTCTGCTGAGGAGCTATGCGCAATTTTACAGTTCTGAGATGGAAAGGAAAAAAAAGATTTTTCTCCTCTTTTCCTTTGAAAAAGAAAAAAAAAAATCTGATCTCAGTTCTTTGGTCTTTCACAAAATGGCTGCATAACTGAACAACTAAAGCAAGGCGATTTCCACGTGCTAGTTATCACAGTGTACGTCAAATGTTAATAAACATCCCCTGTCTTTATCAGGTAAAAATACATGGGGACAGTATGAAGGTTGTAATCAGAAGGGAGCAAATGCGGATCACGTCACTTGCTTAATCTTCCACATTTTTGGAAAGCTTTTTATTTTAAAGTAGAATGTCTTTTTGCTTTAACTCATACACTGTCCTGCCCAGGGGACCTCTGCTGGGGCTACAGACTCTGGAGCCTTTGCAGAACACGTTACTCACAGTCTCTGCCTTTCTTAAGGGGAGCATATGAACAGTACTTACAAAGTGTTCTTAAAATTACACTTTGGTTGATTTGGCTATTTAAACTAAGATGCCTCAAGAACTCAGGAGTTTCTGAATGGAGGCTTCCTCTGCCCCCTCAACTTTCAGCACCTTTTTAAGTACCACTTGATTAAGCTCACATTTTCTAGGAGGAGCAGGAGGAGGACAGTAGCACACAAGATATCCACCATTGGATTAAAACTCCAGCACCTGTCACCATTTGCAGAAAACTGCTCCCAAGCAAAACTGGCAACCCAAACGCAGGCACAAACTTGCTTTGCTGCAAGAGTAGTAAGCGGACCACAGAGACGTTGCCACCTCAGTTACTTGGGGAAAACCCAAGCAGCATGTTGAAAGCGAATGAAATCAAACTTGCTACAAAGATATTTCCAGAAGCGCTAAGTAAAACATACTAACATTCATGATACTTTTAACATTGCCTTAAGGGGAGGACACACTAAGATTTGTAGTGAACTGCCTGTCAGTTCTCACCCTGTAATATTCGCTGGTAATCTCTGAAGATCCTTCTTTCAGGGCTTGCTATGGATTTCTATTTGTTTGATTCTAAGCTAATTCAACCCCAACCCTGCCACAGGTTACAAAACCTGCAGGCAACACTGGCATGCTAAGGGCTCCTAACCTCTCCCTCTGCTCCAAAGCCACGTCGTCAGTCAGGCGCCCTCAGCGCCCAGCACCGGCAGATGAGCTCCCTTTTTTGCCCCTCTGCCACAGGCTTGACTCTGCACAATATGTAGTCAGTAGTAACGCACAAACCAGCAGAGGAACCTGTTGCAAAGGACGTCAGAGGCATAAATGCAAAGAGATTAAAAGGGACTTCTGTTGAGCGATAGGAGATACTTCCACAAACCCAATGCTCCTCACAGTCTCCAGCTGAGGAGAACGGTAAGCACCAACTGATGACAACTGAGTGTTCACAATCAGTCCATCACATTATTCACCTGAGTTCTAATGATCCTCATTAAACAGCCCTTGCCACCCACCATGGGAAATCAGTATACTGGCTCAGGTGGATCTGTACTGGCCCAGCACAGTACAGACACTCAGGCAATTCAGGAAATCCCAGTCCTTTACACCTTACTTCTTTACAGACCCCCCTTTAAAGTTCAATATGAAACAAAAAGGAGCACAGAAGCCCTATCTTCTCCATCGCTTTAGCAGTTCATGGTTTTTATTTCTCAGCGAGCTCTCTAACCAGAAAACAACCAGCGACAGACAGGAATGCAGAATATCCCAGCTCCAGCAGATCTCCTTACAAGCCACAACACTGGTACCTGCTGTGACTAGCAGCCAGCTAGCAGTTTCTGACTCTGAATCCAGAAGGAGAAACTGAAAAACTCAAACACATGAACCCTTTCAAAGTGCCGTGCAGATGAACAGAGTGCATCTTTCAGCAGCGGAGGTTCAGATTCAAACCGGGATTAGGCCACAAGCAAACAGAAGTCTGACGGACTCAACTTATCCTCTTGCAAATATTTGCCAACATCATAAAACCATCACTCTGGTATGCACAGAACTTTCTCCTCAGAAGACAGATCAGAATGGCACAAACTATTCTAAATTGTGGCTTAGATGTAGCAGCCCAACTGGTGGACAGAAAGTTGACACCATCTGCTCTGCACTGATGTTCAGACTATACCATGCAAACTTCATGTTACAAGCTTTGTGTTAGTTAAATTCAACCAGATTGTGAAGGTGAAAAACATGAGGAGTTGAGAAGATTCTTTGTTCAGTATTTACATTTGTGTAATTTAACCCATTTATCATAAATCTGTTATTTCTTTCATTTGCAATTTAATTCCTAAAATTCCAGTAGCAGTATTTATGCACAACTTACCTGCTACATGCTTTAAATTTTATGCGGAGCCCTGACTCAAAGCAAGCTACTACTAACTCCGCTTTGCAGATGAAAAGCTCAGCCACAAAAATATTTACTGAAAGCAACACTGAAGCCTGTGGCTCCATGAACTGAACTATGAACCAAACTCAGATCTTGTCAGTCTTTTTCCTCACAAGACAGGTATGCACAAACCTTGGTAGCAAGTCAGTTTTTTAAAAGTCAGGCTTACAACAGGCTTTCTCTCACATTTACAAATGGGAAAGAGCAGGCAATCCAAATACACAACGTTAAATACTCAATGCTACATCTAAAAACCCTAGAACTTTCTGAGAAGGAAGGAAGCTCACTACACCACTATTGAAAAGTTGTGTGCATGTCAGAATGTAGATTCAAATAATTGTTCCAATGTATTGCTTGATTTTTATTACTTTTATCCACACATTACATCTCAGTGTGAACAGATCTTCCAGCATAACTTTTTCATCAAGTCCCACAATACCAGGACTAATGACACTTGATGGAACTAGTATAGCATAAATTGAAAGCAGACAAAATGAAACACTTCTTCACACAGCAGGCAGTGAACTTCTGGAGCTTGCTGCTCCAGGACACCGTGGGGAGAAACAACATCAGCAAGGGGAAAAAGGGATTAAACAAACTGATGGACAGCAGGTCCACAGAGTACTCAGCAGAGATACCCCCCGGACATCCCTAGTGCAACAGCAGTAGATGCTGCAGGAGCAGGAGGGGACTGGAGCACAGAGAGCGGCCAGACCCGTTTAATCTCATTCAACAGCATCTTCCACTGACAGTGCCGGAGTCGGCACTGGATGAGCAGACTCTGGGTCTGACTGACCTGGGCATTTCTGCACTATCAGTACCTTTCTGCCCTTTGACAACATGCCAACAATACTTAAATTCCTCCTTCCCAACATTCCCAGCCACAGAAAGGAGAGAAGAACATGCTTTTACCGTAAGAATCAACTTATACACAGTAATTTTATTATGTAAAGATCTATGTAAGTGCCAAATTACCAGATGACCATTTAGTCCTTCAGCAGCTCTTTGCTTCTCAATAAAAGTAGTGGGGAAAAAAAGAAAATTAAAAGGAGTATGTGTAATGGCTTCAACCCATCAGGATGCAGATTTGAGAATAAAACATACAGTGATCTTCAGTTCAACATCCATTACTTTGTTTGCAAAGTTACAAAGTTCTTCTTATTTTCACTTTCTCACAGAAGAATGCATTATTAGCCTTGTGGGATGAATAAAAAGGGTAAATAAGATTCATGTGCATGTTCTACAATGCGTTTAAAAAGGTTTAAAGCAAAAATGTGGAAGAAAGCCTAGCTCTCCCTTACAGTTCAGGGGGAAAAAGAGGTAATGTCACTCTACTTAATAGGTCTCAATGGAAATGTATTGATAACGTTGCAAAGAAGCTGCATCTGGCTCATGAAGACAAGTCATAAGAAGCTGGGAGAATATATTGTGAAGGTTGTACTATATGGTTGCCTTCTAATGTCCCTCTGTAGGCAGCAGTTACTGGCTACCGTGAGACACAAGATTACTGCTGGACATGGAGATTTTATTTCATCTGATATTGTCATATTTGTGTTTCTACACTAACAGTTACTAGTGAATAGACCTAACTGAAAGCAGAACAAATGTCACATCATCAAGTAATAATGTAGAGCCCTACATTTTTGGTGAAAAATTTGATGGTGTCTCATGCTACCCTGCAACATCAGAGTACCTCCTGTCATTTGTTCCGATGCCTACAGGAACACTGACTAACCTGAAGGAAACCAAGAAAATCAAAACCAGAATCAAGCCCCAGAAAAGCAAATTTCTCAAGCTCACCTTTAAAGATTGACCCTTCTATGAATCTCATCTAATTTGCACCAAAACTGTTCAAGTTTCTCCTCACCTTTCATCAAGATAAGAGGTTTCTTCGCCAAGGAAAAGCAGTCTGAAATGGTAGCCTGGTTCAAAGCCGCAGGCAGATAGCTTTGCGTTGGAGTGCTTTAATATGTTTTTATATTGCATATAAAGCATGCAAACATAAACCAGTTTGTTGAAAAACACCCTCTTTGTGGAAGCTGGCTGTAATTCTGAACAAGTTTTCAATTTTCACACTGCTGCTAGGGTAAAACATTTTAAAGAGTTTAATTTTTACAGTGGCTTCAATGACACGAGATTATCTAACAAAGTAATGGTTAATCAATAGAGGGTTTAGTTGTCAGGTGAAACATATAACACACTAAAAGGGATTGATTGCAAGGGTCCTCCTTATTTACTGGGAGGTATATATTTAAAATGACACAAACTTGTTACCAAACCGCATTCCTTTAACCTTGCAAAAGCCGTTTTGAGAAGAGTGTTAAGCAGCCCTATAGCAAAACAAGCTCTAATGAAAAGAAAAAAAACAACTGACAAATATATGGGAGCACCAAATCATGTCAGAAGCAGGGGAACCACAAAGCTGTATTCACTCTCGGCCAA